AAATTTTTAATAATTTTTCTATAATTCTATAATAAATGCTGTAATTCTCTAGTTTTTTCATATTAGTATATACAGTTTAATGTAATCACGTCTTAATTTTTTTTTGCCTTTAGAGCACTAAGTGTAAGTCTGTATATGTACAGCAACTTTTATGCACAGAAAAACCTTTACCATGCTGTGTTGTACAGTAGCACCTCACATTGTACTACCAAGGGAATAAGTGATTATTTTCTTAAATGCTTTCAAGGTAGGTATGTTGTCACATCCAGAGTGCTTAATTGCAGCTGGAGATAAGTATACTGTTTGAGGCAGATGTCTGTGAATGATTGGAAATCTTCAATAGATTCGGGCTTTATAAAGCAATGCTGACCCTGTCTTTAAAGCTGAAGACTTAGAAGGCTTTTGCTTGAAACTGGGCAAAACTGCATATATAGACCTTTGTTGATGCTATGAGCACTTTACTGCCACAGTGTACTCTGATTCCTACTATTGGTAAGGATACACATTTCAATATTTGCAGAAAGCAGAAACGTAGTAGCCGGTTATTCAAAGAAGCTTGACTAGGTTTGGAAAAAAACAAAAATTCTTTGGCATTCTTCCTTGCATCTTGTTTTAAAATAACCCTGGTACCATGGTGACAAGACTAGTCACATATGTTCTCGGGATATGAATTCCTCCATTTGCTCACTCCCACTGGGCCTTGGGTTGCAGTCCCATGCACATCCACTGTGATTGCTGTAGCAGGTCCAATGGGCACTGGTCATTGCCAAAGCTTTTCTACTGGGTCGTGTCTCCCGGTTTGTAATTTGGGTGCAATGTCTTCAAAATAAATGCCATACATTTTTTACCTAAATGTGGAAGATGAGCAGGGCCAAGGTATGAAACAAAAAGGAATAAATATTCTGCACCCACATTTAATCTGTGTTATCCTGGAGCTCGTGTTACTTACCAAGAGGTTTATTTACAGTTTGAGTTGGAGGGAACAGATTGCAACAGTTTTTCCTGTCTCTGCGAGTCTTTACATCTAGTTATCCTTTTGCACTACCATGCTTCAGATAGCTCTTATCTTGCGTACCCTATTTACCTTCTATGGGAAGGTTTTTTTGAGCGCGTGTGTGTGTTATGTTGTTTATTTAAAAAAAACCCTAAAACGCAAAAAAAAAAAACCCAAAACCAAAACGCTCCAACACTCTACAAAACTTGCAGTAAAAATCCTGGCTAAACAGTTCTGTAAAAGGAGCTGAGGAGTCCCTCTGTGCAACCGCAAACCTGACTATTGTCCTGGAAGGGGTGCTCCTTATCTAGGCTATTGTTCTAGCTTTCCTGTCTAATTTCTTTAATGGGTTTTTACAGCCTCTTTTGATTTAACTCTGCTTATTGAGGCAGACAACAGTACAAAATGAGTAGGGAAACAGTACTCACACAACTAACCAGTCTTTTCACCTAAAGATGTCTTCCAAATTTATCGTTAAAGAAAAAAAAACAAACAAAAAACCCCCCAAACTTCCTAGAAAAGGAATAAGGAGAAGGACAACTTGGAAGACATAGTATGGACTGATAGCGCAGACACATGCTGTTTTTCTCTCACACTGCTCAGTTAAATTTTATTTTGATGTTTGTACTTACGTTAATGAAAAACTACTAGAAAAAGTAGGTTATGTATGAAGGTGAATAACGTGTCGACTTAAGGAATAGTTCTTCCCAGGAAGTACTTTAACAAAGGATGTTATATATTCCCTCTTCACCGCTGTGCCACAGAGGAGATCTGGATTCCATGTGACTGTTCTGGCCGGTTACGATTCTTTTTTTTCTAAGACAGTACTTGTGCTTGTTTTTTGAGAGGGGAAGTTTGTCTGTTCTCTGCCAAGAACACCAAATACCAAATGTTCTACTAGTTACTATATTAGGCTGAGTCATGATAACTGTAAACTTTGTGTATTTTTATTCCATGAAGAGTAATAATTTGCTACAGTGCCACTTAAAGCAAGATATAAAGGTGATCTGCAGGTCAAACGTTGTTTCAAGACTGCCTCTAATGAGAGAGGAGAAGGGGACTTCCATCTGTCAGCTTTCTCATTTTAGTAGTATCAAAAAGGGTTAATTATTCTTCCCTGGTTTTCTGAGGTTAGTGTAGAGTAAGATTTTTTTTTTTTTTTTTTTTTCCTTGTCAGCTGAAGCCTTGAATTGCTAACAGAGCTGTCGGCTCTGGGAAGTTGATGAGCCAGTAGCTAGAGCACAAATGTGTGTGGCATCACTGTGCACCAACTTAGTTCTTTGTGGACGCTTAGTGCTTTCATGCAAAATAATGTCCTCCATTCCTAGATTCCTTACAGTTAACCTCTTGTGTGAATACTTCCCAAATGTATTAATATGAATTATCTAGTGTATGTGATCATGCACCTTAATTTATGGCACAAGCAGCTTGTTGTTCTCTAGTTATCCTGGGAAGTTCCCCCCAAGAAATAGAATGTCTAATGTAAAAATTATATGAAATCCTAATATACTTTTTAGTGTCTAACAAGGAAAATTACCGTCTTCATGTTAGCAGGTTACATCCAAGTTCTCTGCTAAGGCTAAAAAATATTCATCATTGTATGATGTGTGCTGGAAAATACAAGTGAAAGAAAGCAATGGCCCTGAAAATGTCTGTGTTGAATCCAGTGAATCTCTTGAAGAGGTTTTCATTAACATTTGCTTGTTTTCATAATGCTAGATGCAGGCTGAACAGATTTTCACACAAATAGGGTACAACATACTGTCATTCTGACCTGCAAGAATCCTGCAGTTTTGGCTTGTGGCCCTTCTCGGCAAGTGTCAGTCATGCTGAACACCTTTTGCTTCTTCGCTTAATTTAATTCTTCCCTCCCCTGGGCATTGTGAAAAATATATCTTGCAGACATTGTAAGTACTTGGAATGGCTGTAAAGATTCAATATTTTAAGTTTGAAAACAACTGATTTTTAATCTTCCATTTAGAAGTGTTTGTTTGGCTTTGGTTTTGTTTTAAAAAAAGTGAAGAAAAGATAAAGAAAATTATTCTCCCCTCCCTGAGAATTCAAATAGCTGTTTGCATCTAAAATTTTGTGAAGTGCACAGCATTATGCTTTGTATCAGTTCTTTTAAATGCAAGAGGGTTGTACTATGTAGTTTATCTGAACTATTCCCTAAAGAAAATATGAAAGACTTCTCGTTTCATTTCCTTTACTTTTCCTCGCAGAATTAGAATTAGAAATAAGCAGTTCTTAGAAATCCTTATTTGCTGATAGAAATTTGTGAGAAACTATAGTACAAATCTATTGCATTCAGTACACTGGTTATACTGAGTCTTTTTAAACGTATTTTTAATCTTATAGCTATATCAAGTCACCTAATAGAATTGTGCCCTTCAATCGTGACAAACTTCCTGAATACCAGATTGGACAGAACTAAATGCTGGGGAATCAATTTTGTTGTTTTGATGGTGGGGTTTTTTTTTCTTTTTTTCTTCTCTAAACAATTTGGTTGTGAAGATCTGTTCAACATATTAAAACAAACTCACAGGCAAAAGAGTATGCAGCTTGAAATAAGAACTGGTCACATCATTAATGTGCTTTGTGAACATGATTATACTGAAAGCTTTTTACGCTCTATTTGGTATTTTAATATGGAAACGTATTAAATGCGGTTGTGTGTCTTATTGCTTCAGGTTGGTGGAACAAAAGCTGGAGTTGTGCGTTTCTTGGGAGAAACTGACTTTGCTAAAGGAGAATGGTGTGGAGTAGAACTGGATGAACCTCTGGGAAAGAATGATGGAGCCGTTGCTGGAACAAGGTTAGTCTATCATCAGATAGCAGCTGCCTTAAAGATTTTGCATCTCTATATTCTGTTTTGCTTTTTTAATATCTTACATGAAACTTTATATCAAGGGAAGTAGGCTGTAAACCTGACTGTCTGCTGATGGTGGTGGGGGTTAGACACTGATTTGAATTTTATGACGCCTACACATCTCTGCAAGTCTGCATCAACCCCACATTGATGGGATTAGTTGATCTCTCCTACTCCCATGTGAGTTTTATTCATAGACTGGTAATGGAAAACACAATTTCCTCCTTTTTGAACGTCTGCTTGGTTTCTCAGCTTGGAATGAATGCTCAGTTAAGAAAATATCTCTGGATATCTAATAGCTGAACTTAAGGGAAATCTTCCTGCATCACAGGAACTGAAAGCTCTTATACCAATAGTTGCCTCATTGTAAAGATTGGGAACAGTATAGCTGCTTCCTCCAATAAGTCACACTTAGAATGCATTAATTCACATCACAATTTAACTTTTTTTCTCATTTGGTATAAGGAACCGTCCTTTAACTCATTAAAAAGAGGTTTTACAAGGATTGTGCCATTTTAACATAGGTGATCACAACTTAAAAAATTTTAACGGGCTTTTGTTTATATTTAACCAAAGATCTATATTCTGTGCAATCAAATATGCATACATGTATAGGTATGTATGTAATAAAATATAAAAATACTTGATTTAATTAAAATCTGATTTTTATTTTTAACTCTGCTATCACATTTGTTGTTGGCAGCTCAGAGGAATGCATCGAAGAGGAAAGCTATGCGTGTTAAACTTTGAATCTGAATGGAATTTTTAGGAAACAGAGCTCTAGCTCAAGAGTTGAATCTGTTGAATTTCTAAAGTCTGATATAATCATGCTGTTTCAGCCTCTCAAAGTCCCCTTTCCAAATCTAGTGTTTTAAAAAAAAAATTTGCAGTCTAATACAGATTAGATTGTTACCAGCTGTTACCCTGTCCTTCAATACTTTTAGACTATTGATCTAGAATTCTTTGTGAAGCCAGACCATGTATCTGAAAAGACAGAAGTTAATTTAGTATTCTGTCGTGGTTTAACCAGGACATATTCTCATCTGTCTGCTTTGCTTTTGTAAAGGTATTTTCAGTGTCAGCCAAAATACGGTTTGTTTGCTCCAGTCCACAAAGTTACGAAGATTGGATTCCCGTCAACCACACCAGCGAAAGCAAAGACAACTGTGCGAAAAGTGGTTGCAACTTCCACAGCCCTGAAACGTAGTCCAAGTGCATCTTCCCTGAGCTCTCTCAGTTCTGTGGCATCTTCAGTAAGCAGCAAGCCAAGCCGTACAGGACTAGTAAGCTTCTTTTTCTATTGCATGCTTTACGTTCCCAAGCAGGAATCCACGTGGCACTTGCCTGTGGTCTACTTGCATAAATTGAGAATAGAACAGATCTTGGGTAGAGCACAATATACATTTAATTGTGCTCTCTTTTTCATTCAAAGCATGCATGAAGGAAGGAAATCTTAGCTAGCCCTGAAGAATAGCTGAATATTTGAATATTTAAGCTTACACAGTTAATTCAGGCTAACTGAGTTATTGCAATAAGAAAGGGGCTGTGATGCCAACAAACTGAAAAGGCGTCAATGTTCTCTGACTGGAATCTCCATTTAGTTGTTCATTTTCCTAGCACTACCTCTGTCATATGAGGTTTGTGTTTGAGGATCTGGTATGCACTAAAGCTTCCATAGATCAAACTTGTTTTATTAAGGAGGAAGCTTCAAATTGTCTAAAATGTAAAAGGTTTTCTTTTATTGTTAAAAGAGATGAGTCAGCTGAGAAATACAGAAGTAGCAATTGTCAAGTCTTTGCTGACAAGAAGCCTCTTTCTTTTCTTTTAGATTTGGTTTTTAATCCTATGAATTCATAAAGGCTAAATGTTGCAAAGTACAGTGGCTCAGGTGAATTCTAACACAGTACTAATTCCACCTAATACACTTACTATGGTTTCTTGTGAAGTTGCTCTGTTACATAAATGTCCTAATCTTGGGTTGCAGCAGTAAAATGGAAATCTTCTGGGAAAGCTGAATTTTAAAAAGTCTCTCTTTTAAGGCAATTAAAAGCATAGAAGTAATTGGGTTTTTCCACAGTCACCCTCGATTTTTCCTTTTTTTAAACCAAAGTACATAAATACATCTAATTAGAAAGAGATCACTCCTGATCTGGAACTGGTTAGCTGGCATACTGTCCCACTGACCAGCGGGTGCAGAACAGAGAGGTGACTTACCGTAGTCCTTCAAAACTGAAGCAGATTAAAAGTGAACAGAGGTCAACAGTTGGTCAGGGCAACAGGATTAATACCTTATCACAAAAGGCATAAGGGATTTTTATTTGGCACAAGCAGTGGGACTTCATTCCTTGATCCATTCTGGGAGTTGCACTTCTAGCTGCAGAGTGCCCCCTAGTCTGAAATCGGTGCAGTAACGTGTGGTGCTACCTCAGGTTCAGGGCAGACTTCCTGAGCTGATGGTGAAGCATTCATATAGACCTCTACATTTTATTCCATATGCTATGATACTCTAAGGTGCTAGAGCATAGAGTTACACATTGTAAAAGTCTACAACATACTTGCTTATTTTTTTGCCTCTGTGTTGTGCCCCAGGACTTTTGCGTGTTTTGGGCCATAAAATATAAAGTTTCTGTAATCCATTATTTCTGGAATTAAAATTGCAGCTTTCTTCCAACTCTTTTTCTCAGGCAACATGAACATTTGGTTACCATCCGAGTTAAAAGGACTGTCAAAATAATTCTGACACTTTTTCTTTAAAAGTTAAGCTGCTGAAGAAACAAGATTTCCTGAAATCAGTTTTGACACAGCAGACTGTTCATGCTTCCATTTCTAAGAAATTATAACTTATCTGGAAATTGCTGGACTCTTACGTAGTCTTCTCAATTATTCAGGGCTGTTGCTGTTTTCTTCTGCCTGTGTAAGAAAAGCAGCTGTCAAAGTAGGTGATCTAGTGATTTAAGAGGGCTGTCTGATGCAATTTGTATTTATTTCCAAGTCTGAAGGAAGTTGATGTTTCTCTGAAATATTTTGGATTTCTTTTGGAATCCGGAACTAAGTCAAGTTTGATTTGAAGAGCTACAATTGTTAAAAAGCAATACATTCTGGAATGAGATATCTTCTGGAAACTGAGAGGATCTGAAACAACTGATCTAAGCATCAAAGTGAAAGATAGTTTATTCTATCTTGTACCTTTTCAGTCACTTGATACAGCATTTGTAATGGACTGTAGACATATCATTCAAGGCTGTGAGTAGACAAGTTAGAGAGATTGTGTAGCAATCATGGTAACAGGAGGGGAAGTGTGTTTTTGTGATGACAGGAGAATACGTCCTTGTTATGCTTTCTGTTGGGGATGTTGTCCAATGCCAGCATTCCAGGCTGTATATGGCAACTATTCTTCAACATTTTGATCTCTGAAAGGGATCGTGGAAGAAACATGCTCCTATTCTTGGGCGATACTATCAGACAGAGCTAAAGGTTAACATAACAGAAGAGCAAGCCTTTGTGTATTCATTTTTGTTTTAAATAAGGCTTTAACTGAGATGTCATTCTCATTTAATACTTAGACAAATTTCTGAGCTGTTAAGCTTAAAGTCGGTTTTTGTAAGCTGTATTGGATTTTTTTTGTTCGGTTTTTGCTGTTTTCACAACTATTGCTCACTTTTACTACGTAATTTCAGTTTATTTACTTTCCCTTCTAGCTCAAAAACTCTTGAGGAAGTAGAAGACAGGGCCATGCTGAATTTTCACTGACACTGGTTCCATTCAGTGGAGCAGAGACCATGCAAGGTCAAGGAAAACCCTAAGGTTCATTTTAGCTATAGTTCTCCAGATTGATTCATTTTTATCTATACCCTTTAAGTTTAATCTTTCAGATTTTTTTTCCAGAAGTGATTTAATTCCAAGTGATATAAACATATGTTTTAATCAGATACCAATTGTTCTTCTTCACAAGGTTTTAGCTGTAAGGCTGGCTTTTTAGGTCAAGGTAAATGCTTTTCATCCTGGATGTTTTATTGCCATGGTAGAGGTGCCAAATGCTAGTTGGAGTTCCAAAAGCTTTTGATAGAGCATTTGGAAATGTTATACTGTTGCTGGTGACCCAAGATCATGACTTGATAACTAAAGGCACAATGTTTTTAACTTGCTAAAATCTGCCTTTCTTTTTTTAATGCAAAAAGATGCTTAGAAACGTAATGAGCTAGCCTTTGTGTGAGTCTGCTAAGCACACTTTCGATTGAGGCCAGCCTTTTGCTTTCACTTCAACCCTTCTGTCTCCTACTAGCTGCTGATTGCTACAAAGCAGTCTTACTACTCATGTGTGGCCATTGTTAAATTCTAGAAAATGAAGTAATTAAAATGTAAAAGGATAAGGTACAGTAGGTTACAGAAAGCATTTGCTTTACTAACCCAATGTTTGTAGAGTCTGGAGATATCCCTTGTTTTCACTTCATACAGAATGATTTTTAACATAATTACTTTGTGAAGTTGACAGAAACATCCTCCCGCTATGCAAGAAAAATTTCTGGTACCACAGCCCTGCAGGAGGCACTGAAGGAGAAGCAGCAACACATTGAACAGCTCCTGGCAGAAAGGGACCTCGAGAGGGCAGAAGTTGCAAAAGCAACCAGTCACGTAGGGGAAATAGAGCAGGAATTAGCACTTGTTCGCGATGGACATGATCGGGTAAGAGTGGTATTGCTGTTCTTGAAATAGAGGCTTTAATACAATTGCCTTAATTTCCAAAACTGTGTTTTCTTATTGAAAAGGTCTGGGAGAAAGAAGTGGTGTTTTGAAACTGAAGTAGTGCATACCTGTGAGATCTTCCTTGTGGGAGCTTTGGCTTGATGAGATAGCCAATCTACTTTCATTTAACTCATTTTTGTTCAACTTCTCTACACATCTCTACAATCTTTTATTATATACGTATTTGAGTATGATAACATTCCTGTCCCTTGGCCCATCACTTTACCAAATTGTGATTACTGAGGTATAGATATGTAACTTGGAAAAAAATTCATGTATTGCCCAACTTAGTAGATTTTGTTCTTATTCCTCCTGCTGATTAGCATGTACTGGAGATGGAAGCTAAAATGGACCAGCTACGAGCTATGGTGGAGGCTGCTGATAGGGAGAAAGTGGAGCTTCTCAATCAGCTTGAGGAAGAGAAAAGGTAACCCAAAACTGTCTTCATTAGTATAACTCTGTTAAAAACAAACTTTGCATTAAAAGCAAATGCTATCATAACTTTCAAATATGAAACAAATTTTGAATATTGCAGATACGGGCAATTACTGTATAAAATCATATTGCAGTTTCTTAAAATTAATACTAAAAAAACCCCTCTCTTAAATTTGGGGAGGGAAAGCCAAAGAAAGTGGACTTGTGTAGAGGCTGTAACTATTGTTTACAGCTGAATTTCATGCAACTCATTCCTTTTAGTATTGCTTTCTGTTATGAAGGATTTTATTCCTACTTATAGGAATACCTGATCTTCTTGAAACACTCTTCTTCCACTTCCAAATGAAAATTTTGATAATCTCATTTCCTGACAGTGCTGGATTAGGACTTTACAGTTCAGTTCTCGTGAATAATGTATTACTGTTAGTCATGTGCTTCTAGGTAGGGTCTGTCCCTTACAGGAAAATCATTAAAGCTGTTAATTTTAATGCCTTTTCTAATTCCCTTTCATAACCATTTGAGGAAAGGAACTGAGATTACCAAATAGGTAAAGTGAGGTTAGGAAGGGAAATAACCTGATAAATTGTTGGGTCAAGGTTAGGTGAGGAAATAATCTGATAAATTGTTTTGGTGGATTTGGAATGCTTTTGAAAAGCAAGAGTCTATTTAGAAACCCACGTGAGTCGGTCCTGTAGGCTTGTGTGCGCCCCTGAAATCAGTCAGATGTCAACCTCTGTGAAAGGCCTGCCTAAAACTAGAAATCACAGATGAGAAAATGCAATGGTAAACCCTGGGCAATTCCTTCACAATTTTCATGCTGCCTTTTTATGGGACCCACTCGAACTGAATCTTCAAAACAAGCAGTAGAGTTAGGTCTGGAATTATTTGTATATTCTCTACGAAATAATGCTGTGGGTTTTTAAATTTAAAAAAAAAAAAAAAAAAGGCAGCTTTTCAGCACCGCCGGTAGCCTGGCTGTGGACCTACTTTCGCTGAATGCCAGGTCAGCGGGGGTCTGTTTTACTGCAGTCCTCCATGGCCTTGAGCTCACCTTCAGCGTGTTGCTAGGCAGCCTGACAGTGCCGCTGCGTGCCTGCTACCCATTCACCGAAGTGACGTCCTGCAGCCGGGAAAACATTTCATGGCTTCGGCAGTGTAATATTTCTCCTTCCTCCTAACCACTCTAGGCTTATTTACTTTGAAAGTTCTCTGTAATATGTATTCAAGTCAGTCTCAGCAGTGACTTGAAGTCAAATAATCTTTAATCCTCTGTTTCCCAAAGCACATTGGTGAGACCCACTTCCAGTAATAAGTTCTTATTGTCCTTTTATTTCAGACATCCATCACTTGTAACTCTCTTTGATGCAATGGTTTCTACATCTGTCAGCCAAGCTGCGGGCACCAGCAATGTGTGTAATTCAAAGGAAAGAAGACATGCTTGTCTCTTCCTTTGCAACATTTTACAGTGTTTGAAAGGATCAAGGGGAAAAGGAGGAGATCTGACCCCTTGTTCATTGGGGTATACCAGAGTCAGGGGAGGGAAGGAATAACTTTTTACAAATTTTATTTTAAGTCAGATATTAGCTTCTCACTTCTGTCTTCTCATTTTGAGACTCCTGTATAGGCAAGGCAATGTTCTTGCCTGCACTACCTAATACATGTTTGTCTACACTAGAGTTTTGAGGCAAGTTGACCAGCGTGCTTCTAGAAGACCCATGGGTGTCTTGGATGTGTCCTAACTTTCTGTTTCTTGGGTGAATAGTAGAATATACAGAATGTGAGATCAAACTGTTCATTTAGGTCACCTCTTTAGAGAACATGCAGAAGGGTGAAAGAATGAGAGAATCGATGATGACTTAAAGGTTTTCTTTTTAACTTGTCAGAAAATGCAACAAAATACTTTCTTTATAGAGCTGCAGGAAGACTGATGCCTTACTTTGTCAGTGGTTGTGTTTTAAAGACAGCGGCTTTCCTTCTCTCTGATGCTTCCTGTGAGAGATTTCTCCTTAATGTTTCTGGCAGTTTGCTGGTACAATCAGAATGATGTTGCCGTAATTCTGATTTCTACTGAAAAGTGAGCTTGAAAACATTTTCTTTCAAAGTTATCTGACTTTCAATGAATTGTCCCCACAGGAAAGTTGAAGACCTTCAGTTCCGTGTGGAAGAAGAATCCATTACCAAAGGAGACCTAGAGGTAAAATATCTCCAGCTTTGTAAGCAGGATATATAGTAGGACAAAGAAATGCAATGAGTTCAGATTAAGTGTACTGTTCTCTGGAAGAGAAAGGCAGGAATGATTAATCGATGCAATACTGCTCCAAGCATATGCAAAGCACGTGAAAGTGATTCCTGGTTCTGCAGTCCTTGAGTGAGCTAACCGTCCTGAAACTACAGGATTGCACCCTTAATTCAGTTACACACTTTTAGCAAGGCTTGTACTGTGGAATGCTGTAGTTGTTTAGAGTAATTAAATTAATTCATAGAAAACTCTACCTTTTGATATTTCACATTATTTTATATTACATCTTACTAATGTTTCTGAAATTGCTTAAAAGTAAGCACCAACAAAAAATCATTTTGAAGTTATTGAATTGCATTTATGCCTTTGAAAATTAATATTGAGGACTAGTCCTGTTTATCTTCGATCAATTTTTTTGAATAATCCCTGTGCTTTCCTTTGGGAAGATTAATTAACAAAGAATGTTTTGTCCTGAGAGTTATTGCACACAAAATCTAAACAGCAATTAATGTGTGCAATTTTTATCTTTCTGCTGTTTGTATAACTATAAGGTTGGGCTAAAACACAGTATGTTATTACACAATCAAAATAGAAAACATTTAATGAAGGATTACTCTCAGATATTTGAACAGTGCCAATTTTTATCCCAAATTTCAAATTGAAAAGCAAGATACTTTTTAGTTGTTCTACTCTGTTGTTGTCTAATCAGAAAAATATTAGAACTTCTTGCACAGTATAAAGTACAAACTTAATTAACTTGTGTTCCTGAGAACCATTTATGATTAAAGTGCTAGCCTTATGAAAATTATTCATTTCATATAACATTTCTTTTATTTTAGTCTTCCATTCATTTTAAGATATCTATCTAGACTCTTCATAGAATGCTCCTTCTATTGTTTAGTCCATGGAAAATTTTAATTTTTTATTTTTTGTTAAATCAGTCGATAGTCATGGCAAACCATCTTAAAAACTCTGGTTTGTCAAGCTGCATAACTTCAAGAGTTTAAACTGAATTCAAGATAATGAAATGTATCCTGTTGTTTGTGTTGGAATGATAGTGCTAAGTGTGCAGGTGAAATATTTTTGTTTGTTTGTTTTTTAATTTTACTGATAGCGAAAGAGGCAGATTTCGGAAGACCCAGAAAATGTAAGAGGGCACTTAAATGTGCAGAGACATCCCATGTTAACAGATTGTGTGCAGAAAATGCTTATACTTATTCACTAACTGCATAATCTGTTATTGAAACATTGACTCTAGTATTTGTGTGCATGTTGCTTTCAGAGCAATTACAACATTTCTTGAAAAGAATGTGTGTAATGACTAAACGTTGTAATCCCCATTAACTGAAGAGAGGGCAAATGTGTAATTAGAATTCTTTAGGGTTAAAAACTTTGCAACTAATTGAAGAGTATAGGAGCTTGTAGAAAATGACTGTCCAGGATCTTGAAACGTCTTTCATTTAAATGTAGGATTTTAGTTACTTTCTTCACAAAATCCTGCATGCTTTCCTATGAGCTCCTGCTGCTGTTCAATAGATGCAGTATGAAATTAGTCGATTAATTTTTCTGAGGGGAAAAAATCAGTATGTTCCCCACCTCCCCGTATTTGTTTCCTTTTTTTGGCATGAAATGCTAAGGGGAGAGATGATTAAAAACACCTACAGAATTAGTGTGCAAAGCTGTCTGATTTTACTGTATCTTCATGTAGCTTCTCTTTGAATTATGTAGGAAAAATATATGTTACTGGATAACAGAAATTGCCTTACAAGACATTGAAGCAGCCCTCTTGCTCCCATAGCTCAGAATAGTGGAATTTAAAAGCCCTCTCTTTGATTGGACTCAGGAGAATTTATCCCAGGCTGCCTCCTCTGCTGCATCCCCAGCCGAGACAGGAAGTTCTCAAGACTAAAACTGGTTTCCTGCTGTGCATTCTTAGGTGTTCCTTTTGCGAAGCTACTTCAGCGATCTGGGTCTCCTCTATTCTTCCAATCAGGCTCACGGTGTGTTAGAAGTAAATCTGCATGTGCCCTTCCTTTCTCTTGTTTTGTGCACTCCTTGTTTAACCCTATCTTTACTCCTGATTTCCCTATTCTAATTTTTCCATAAAAATGGACATCTTCACTCTCTAAAGGAGAGAAGTGGGTGATCACTTAGTTTCTAGGCTAATGCTTCATAATCTCAGTCGTGTTCTGTGATTGTTATCCCAGCACAAAGGGACTGAAGGTCGTCTTGCCCCATCCTAGAACTGATTATCAGCATTTATGGCTTCAGCACAATTTCACGGTTTGACCTATAGATGGAGAACTTAACAGTAAGGTTTATTTTGAAGTGAAAGAGTAGCTAGAATACACAAGTGCTGAGAATAGCTGATGACTGGTCTCTGAGGTTTATTTGAGTGGAATTCTTCAACGTTCAAGGCAGAGTAAGGCTCATCCCATTTCTCTATCACTTTTAATCTAACTGCGAAGCTTTGGAGAAGGTGAAGATGCTTCCTTAGTTGTTGGTTTTTTTTTTTTTTTCTTTTCTGTTTTTCTTTTCCATCCAAGTTAACGTTTACAATCTTCTTTTTGTAGTACTCTGCTCTTCTCAGTTTAATGTGCTCTGGGTTTCCTCAGAGAGATACTCTGCTCTCCTCAGTTTAGTGTGCTCTGGGTTTCCTTAAAGAGAAACATAATCATTTAGACATTCCTCTCTGACCAGGAGAGAAATTTGAGTGATTCAAAATTTTGCAGTGATTTTTACCTCAGGGAAACTGGAGCTTGTCCCTTGGAAATGAGACTTGTTTAAAGAATAATCCCTCATGCCCGAAATGGGGAAAAAGGTGCCCAGCAAAGATCATATGAATATTCAATTTTTAAAAATAGATTACTTTTCAGACTTATAATTTTGTTGTGGATCAGAACTAATACTAACCCGTCTCAGAGAGAGGTCTGAATTATAGCCACTTACAAAATATTGTTATTTCCCTTGGAATACTTAGTTCCATTTTCAAAGGCTGTGGAAGGCAAAAACAGTAATCCGTGTTCTTGTGGGGTTTTTCCCCCCCATATGCACTGAAGATCCTCCACTGATAGAGGAACAAATCTGCTACAGAATTTCAAAAAATAGACAAATCTAAGAAGCAACTTCTAGCATTTGTGGATTTTAGTATTTTGGACCTAGTAACTACATAGTAAAAACAGTCAACCGTGTTCAGCTGGAAAAATGTTTAAAAAATGAAACTGCCAGATGTCTGCATGCTTTTGGGAAAGAAGATAACTTGATGCTGTCAGAAGAAGTACTGTGTTTGGAGGAGAACAGGCCTGAAGCAAAACAAGAGGCTCATCCCCATCCCACTTGCTCTGCAGAGACTATGTAAGATCTTTAACTGCTGCGGCTGGTTTGGAGGCAGTACTAATCAGCTTGTCACTCTATAAATAACACAGTTCTGTAGGGATTTTTAAATATCATATTACAAAGATCAGAGAAGCAGCAGTGTCCTGCCAGCTAAAGCTGTGCTTTGGCAGCAGTGTGGCTTTGGAATTATTCACGCGTCTTCCTGCCTGTTCGGATTCTTTCAATCCAGTGTTCAGGTTGCAGGACTCTCTTCTGTTAATAGTAGTTCATAGGGTTTGGGGGTTACTGTGTTGCTTTGTTCCGCAGTAAATTAACTGCGGCAGTTAAGCTGCGTGGAGCACTTTCATCAAGACTGACGGATGCAACTTCTTCGGTTAATAAACACATCTTAGCCTACCCAGGCAGAACTTCATTCAGTCTTCTTCTGGACATCTACCTTACTCTCGATGTAGGCAAGCCTTGAAAAGCTGTTCTTTCTGGGAAAGACACTGTGAAGCATAACAGACTTTCATAATCTTTTTAATTTGGATTGTTTAGTAAATTTAAACTAACAGTGACCTGTTAAGATTGACACAATACTCAAATCTCAGCACTTCAGAAATAAGCATGGCACCTGGTTCTTACCTCTTTATATTTCTTTTTTCTTTTTTTTTTTTCCTCCCCTCCCCTTTTCTCCACTTCAGAGGTGCAGGTCAGATTTGAACTAAGTGCTGGACTTCACCTGCATCTCTTCAGACTACTCTGGGAGTATCTGGGTATCAAGCCAGAATATCTGTTATTCTGTGTTCTTCCTAAAAATTCTAACCCTTTGTAAGCAAAAGGCAGGAGGTACCTGCTCACTTAGTTTCACCTGCTTCCTGCTTCTCTTTAGGAACCTATTAGAATTACAAAGATCTTACCTTTTTTTTTTCCTTACTTCCACATCTTGTTCAATGTATTTAGACTTCAGTAACTGTAGAACAACCAGACTGATTCACTTTTTCACCTGGTTTTGGAGAGTCTTACTTGTTGCTTGCTTCCCTCCTGAAAGAGGAGGAGGGGGAAAAACTAGGAGGGTTCTGTTAGAGACAACCATTCTCTTTCTATTTCTATACAAATAATTCATACCGTAATGACAAATGAACCTTAATGTTCCCAGGTCTTAGCAAAAAGAATTTTTATAGCTGAGACTTGACATATAGCTACTATTTAAAAAAAAAAAAAAAAAAAAATTTGGTTTGTCTCATGAGCTTCAATGGTGAATTTTTGTCCCCTGGTTCTTAACTAAATTATTTATAAAATAAGCCCAATATATTAGAGAAAAAAGTTAGTGGGATGACAAGGAAAGGGATTTATCATCCTGTTAGAACAGGTACAGATACATATACACATATATATTTTTTACATAACTATTCTAATTTGTGCTGAAAACTTCATGTACTGATAAATAACTTCTACTTGGCTGCATGAAACTTTTTTGTTCATATTTCTTTGTTTGTGATTTTTTTTTTTTTACATTTTTTATGGTTTTTTACACGTCAGTCCATTTACACTTTCAGTCCATCTTTCTCATCCATAGCATTTCCCTGTTCATTTTATCCACTGCATCTTTTCTGCTCATCATTGATAGAAAATTCTGGCAGCACGGCCTGCATGTGGCTCCCTCCTCTTGTGCTGGCATGTGATGGTGGCACCGTTGTGTTCTCTTCCTTTCCCTTTTTACTAACAGACGCAGACCAAATTGGAGCATGCCCGCATTAAGGAGCTTGAACAGAGCCTGCTCTTTGAAAAGACCAAAGCTGACAAACTCCAGAGGGAGTTAGAAGACACTAGGGTAATGGTTTTCACTATTTAAATAACAAGACTGATTTGTGTTGTGGAAGATTTCTGATGACACAGTCTGCTGAGTATAACACATGCTGAAACATATCCTTGCTTCTGCCATGATCAGTACCTGCTATAGATGTAGCTGGAACACTTTAAGAATTAGCATTAATTTCGAGCTTCAGTGTTGTGTGTCTGTGTGTACGCCTGTATATGTATACTCATTTCTTCAGAATAATTCAGGTAAGATATCTTAAAACTGCAAAATTAATACTTGAATCCAAGTCAAAAGTAGCAAATGGGACTGTGAATTGACATAAAGGAGTGTTCAGTGGTTCATTTTTAGAAGTAGCAAAGTTCATTAAATCCAAAAGAAGTAAGATTGACTGTGCCAATGCTTTTAACACAAACTTAGTGTTTGGGGTTTGGTTTCTGAGGTCTTAAATAGTTGTACTACTTGCTTTGCTAAATCATGGTTTGCAGTGGCTTTTTAGTTCTTTTTTCCCCACCCGTGACATAATCTTTTCATGGATATCCCAGTAGCATTAGTAATACTGTTGCCTGTCAAAATATTGCTGGACATACTTTGTCCCAAGTCAGAAGTTCAGCAGATGTCAATTCTTCAGGATAGATAGCTATATATATTCATGCTCACACATGCAGCTTGTCTTGAAGTTGACGTAGGGGTGAATATTATAAAAACCAAGAATGTACTCTATCATAAGTACTTTTAAAAAGCAATTGCAGGTAAGTAGTATCTTTTTCAGGATGTTGGTATGATAAGGAGGTTGAAACAGTAAATTCCTAATTAGAAATAACTGGGGTAGCTTTGCATGTGGTAGCTTTGCGTGCGTTTCCATACCACAAGCTGCTTCAACAGTCGGGGAAAAGCTCAGATAATGTGAGGACACTTTTTCAGAGAGAACAAGAGAGTGGATATAGGAGGAGTTTCAAAGGATTTGTAGGCTAAAAATGTGTTTGTATTTTTCTCTGATGGTCTCACAGCTGGCATGAAATGAATTTAGAAGCAGTTATTTTAACAAATAGAGACCTCAGGATTCTCCTTTCTTTTTGCATCTGCTTTAAAATGGTTCTGAGAAACATTTTGTTAAACATTGATAATATATATAAGTGTAGTTTGTAAGTTGTTTAGCAAGTTGTTATTTCTAGGTAACTTCAGAAAAATGAATTTAAATAAATTCCACCTTTAGAAAGAATATAATATGCATGTAATATAAAGAGGTGGACATTTTTCCTTTTTTTAAAGCAATAATTTATATATAAATGAAACAACAGTTGGTCTTGTTTCACAGTCTTCCATGTAAAAGCAGCATTTGCTTTTACTTAAGGTTTCTTTAGAATTTCCATAGACATAGGGGTTGACAATGAGACTCAAAGGTATTCTAGTCCAAAATGCTAGTAAGAAGACACTAATGATGTTAGTTTGCAAGACTCGGTGGTTTCTTTTCAGTGAGGCCTAAGTGTCTTTGTATTAAACATATCTTTTATAATTCTTTCTTCTTTTCTTAAAATGCTATTAATCATAGGTGGCCACGGTATCAGAAAAATCTCGCATCATGGAACTAGAAAGAGATCTAGCATTGCGGGTGAAGGAAGTAGCTGAGCTTCGAGGGAGATTAGAGTCTAGTAAACACATTGATGATGTGGACACTTCTCTTTCATTGTTACAAGAAATAAGTTCTTTGCAAGAAAGAATGGCAGCAGTTAGCAAAGAACATCAGAATGAGATGAATTCACTGAAAGAGAAGTTTGGAATTAGTGAAGAAGCATTGCAAAAAGAGATCAAATCACTTTCAGCTTCAAATGAGAGAATGGCGAAAGAAAATGAATCCTTGAAAACTAAGCTTGATCATGCCAACAAGGAGAATTCAGATGTAATAGAGCTCTGGAAATCGAAGCTGGAATCTGCAATTGCCTCCCATCAACAAGCAATGGAAGAGCTAAAAGTTTCTTTCAGCAAAGGTGTAGGGGCTCAGACAGCAGAATTTGCGGAGTTAAAGACTCAGATTGAGAAGATTAAATTAGACTATGAAAATGAAATGTCAAATTTAAAACTGAAGCAGGAAAATGAAAAAACTCATCATTTAAAAGAGATTGAATCACTGAAAGCAAAACTGTTGGCAGTCACAGAGGAGAAAGAGCAAAACCTGGAAAGCCTGAAGACCAAACTGGAAAGTGTGGAAGATCAGCATCTAGTAGAAATGGAAGACACTTTAAACAAATTACAGGAAGCTGAAATAAAGGTAAAGGAGCTAGAGGTACTGCAAGCCAAGTACAATGAACAAACCAAAGTTATTGATAGTCTTACACCACAGATCAAAGCTGCTGAAGAAAAGCTTTTGGACCTTGCTGCACTTCAGAAAGCCAATTCTGAAGGTAAATTGGAAATCCAGAAACTTAGCAAGCAGCTTGAGGCAGCTGAGAAACAAATTCAGAATTTAGAGACTGAAAAGGTTGATGGAACTAGCAAGGTTTGTATCAACATCCATCTTTTTATTTTTACTTTGTTTTTATTTTACATTTGTACAGTTCTAATCTGCTATAGCAAATACATCACAGAAAAAAATAGTTTTATTGAATGTGTATCTTCGTACCATCTGAGGAGGTGTAGAGAAAGTGTTAACTGGGTCATGTCTCTCAACAGGTTTCTAGTGCTTGGTCTGCACCATTAAGAAAAAGAAAAAAATTCTTTCTGCACTTTCTTGCTGCAGGCTTCAGCATGCCTCTGCTGAAAGCTTCGTGTTATGGAAAAGTTAGTTTGGCTTATTTGGGAGAAGAATCCACACATCTTAAGTTTTTAACCTTTGGTGATAGAGATATTCAGATAAAGTGACTTGGATTCAATGGGGAAATGTTTCCTCTGTACCTTCACTACCTTGCCTCTCATCAAACAAGATGATGGAAGAGGCTGTTAAAAACAAAAGAAAGCAAAAAAGATCCTGGTGGAACTTTTATTTAAGACAAGGGTATGCAGTGATGTTGTTAGGCACTGTTTCACAGCATTTTTGAAGCACAGACTGCAATATGATACATCTTACCAAGATTTTTCTTGGGTTTGGATGAAATGTCTCTTTAAAGTTGATAGCATGGCATTCAGTACTTGAAAGTTGTTCCGCCACTGCAGCTAGGGATAAAAATGCTCAGATACCATTTCATTTTAGGGGTTCTTCCATATCCCCAATCTATGCATGACCTGACAAGATAGAGCACTTAATTGTAAGAGTAGTGGGAAAGTAACTGGAAGTAGCTTTCCTAAACCCGTCACAGATGGTTCCAAGATACCAGATTTCTATGGATCTTTGACTCTGTTTTTGAGGTCACACTGGGTTTCTGCACTACCCCTGGCTGTGGTGCAGAACCTTTTGAAAAATTACATCCCCGTATGTGTATTTGTCTGAATAGCCGGTTGAAACATAAGTGCTAAGTTTATCAGACAAAAAAGTTAAAACAATGAAGAACCAAAACTACTAATTCAACTGATGCTTTAACTTTGTTTGGAAATTTAGAATGTATTCAAAAATGTCTGCCATTAAATAATGTTTTCACCATTAATTCCAAGAGAACTAAATTTTAATTATTTCAATTATATTCCAAGATGCATTTAGTACTGTGATGTCGTCATCAGTGGAAATCAGCTTTGTTCAGTTAACACATCACACTTTTTTTTTCCTTCAGTTTCTTTTATTTTTCATCTTACAGTGATTTTAATAGTAAGTTAGTTCTTTCAGATTCAACTTTTGATTTTCCTATTTTTTCATTCATGTTTGTAATTTTATTTTACTCCATTTCATCATCTTCGTTAGGCTAGTAATCTGGCCAAAGAACTGCAGGGCAAAGAGCAAAAGCTTCTTGACCTTGAGAAAAACTTGAGTGCAGTAAATCAAGTTAAAGATTGTTTGGAAAAGGAACTTCAAGTTTTGGTGAGTAATACCCAAAAATTTCGACTTTATCCTTTGGATTTTGGTTTTCATGCTGAGAGTGTAATTGAAATCTGAGGATCAGCTCTGACTGAGCAAAGTTTTTCAAAGCTATTTTATTCATGAAAAGAAGGCAAGGGTTCATGCCTAATAGGATCCATTTCAGAATGAAAAGAGCATTTCACCCAAGTTCTGTGTTATCAGTTTTTTTGTCTAAATAGAACTAATCTGTTTATGGATTTCAGATAAAATATTAAACCAAATCAAAAGCAGCATGTATTTTAAATTTAGACTACTCATTAAGAAACATGTGGCCCTTTATTATTATAACTGTTGTACAAATTAATGCCTGCTATACACGTCTTACAAGTGGTTTTTGAAGACATTTTTCATCTGATTTTTCATTTTGCAAATTTAATTAAATTTGCAAGTATTCTGTAATTGGGTGGGATTTTCCTGAGAAACTACACCGGAATTAGTAACAAAAAGACATGCTTTTAGGTTTTACTGTCCCTGTCATAAAATCTTTCCGTGGTCATAGTAAATAGTTGAAGTTGGTGGAACAGTCTTGCTTCTTATCTTCCTCAATATCCTCCCTTTTCTTCACAGTCTAGCATCTCTTCATGCTGGTAAAGCTCGAAAACACTGGTATGAGATTGATCACAGGGTTGCAGATGTCCACTCTGCAGCCTATGAGCAGCATGGATAGCTTCTTGCGTTGAGAAGCCCAGAAATCACGTCTTCTACACAGGACTCTGTGGCTGCAGTTCTGTTGTTACGCTAGCTGATGGAGAAGTTATTTTGAAAGTTTAGGGACCTAAGGCAAGGGAAAATCTTGCTTTATGCTGCTGAATATGCCTATGCTAAACTGTAATTCGAAAACTTCAGATGTATTTATGATACGAGTGAAGACTGTTCTATTTTGTACCTGAAAAATACCTAATATAAATTCAGTGGTTGAATTATACTGCTATTACCAAACCTTACCTTAGGTTTTTATCAATTTTTCAGAAAGAAAAGTTTACTAGTGCAGCTGATGAAGCAGAAAACGTTCAACAAACTATGCAAGGTATGTCTGCTGCTAAACTAAAGAAAGAACTTAAAAAGCTGCAGAAAGTAAGTGCTGCAAAATAAAGGGGTTTTTTCCATGCGCTTTCAAATTTACACCTGGCGGTACAGCAGTTTCAGCAGCTATGGAAAGGTTAGGATTACTTGCAGCCTCTCTCAAGAGTAATATACCTTGCAAGTAGGTGGAATTGTCTGCATCTAAGTAGTTACTAACTTTGTTTTCAAAATTTTACTTGCATAGAAACAATAAAAAAACTAAACCAAAAAGAAGAGCAGTTTGCACTCATGTCTGCAGAACTGGAACAGCTGAAGTCTAGTTTGACTGGTAAGGAAGTAATAAAATGGAATGTTTTGAAAAATGCATCAGCTTTGCGCTTTCATATGCCTTTTGCTCAGCTTGCCACATTGTAGTATGTAATGCTTTCACAAATGCATATACCTTCAAAAGAAAGCCTTTTTTCTAAGCAGAAAACAGCTTTTGTGGCACTGTGTATAGTGACACAGCAAAGTGATGGTGATGTTAAGGAAATGGTATAGTAGGGCAGAAGATTTCCTGGCTGAGTGTATTCCAAAATTCTTGTTTGACGTTGCAACAAAACCATGGTGTGGTAATGGTCAGATACCAGACAAAGGCTTGGGGACCAGACTGAAGCAGTACAAACATAAGATAGTTAATTCACAGAAGCCTTGTCCATAAGCAGTATTTTCTTTTTAAGGACATCAAAAAGACTGTACAGTAGTCTGGTTGTCTACTTATCTCATAGGAGGGAATCTTGCTGTATCTTTCCAGTTGTACATCTCAATTTAAAATCAATGTAGAAAGAAATGAAGAATGATTATGTACCCTGTAAGCAAGCCTTTCAAGGCATTGTTGGGACTGTAGAAGTCATCCCAAGGGCTGCTCTTGCCCTTGGTGGCAGTACTTGCCCTGGAATGAGTAATTTTTTCACTGTAGCTTCATGTTTGCATTGTTTGTTTTCCGCCGCTCCACTAAATAGCTGCTGAGTTGTCTCGCCTGCAAGATGTGCATACCTCTCTTATTATATTGCTTGATTACCCTCCGATATGAGTAGAACTCATAGCCACTTCTCATGGCCTGAAGTTAAGTGAATCAATTCTGAAAGAAAGATTTCTTCACTAGTTGCTTTTTTATTATTTCTGAAGAGTTCTTAACCTTCTGCTACAGTTAACAGTTCAAAGGTCAAACAATTGTAATTTTTAATTTTAAAGGGGTAATTTGCAAGCTCTGTAGCATCAGTATTGCTCTGTTTATAGTTCTCTACTATCTTCTAGCTAGTCTGTGCATACCCTTTCTCTTAAATTTACTAGACTGCTAACCTTTGTCTTGCTCAGTGATGGAGAAGAAATTGAAGGAGCGAGAGGAGAGAGAACAGCAACTGGTTGAAGCTAAAACCAAACTTGAAAATGATATTGCAGAGATCATGAAGTCTTCAGGAGACAGCTCTGCCCAGCTTACAAAAATGAATGATGAGCTCCGGTTAAAAGAAAGGTATTCCATCATTGTCAGAACATTTTCACATTAATTCTTTACTCCTGCACTCCCTGCTTCTCGTTTTATCTTTTTGTAAGTATCTGAACAAGATGCTCCTGTCATATTGATATGACAAGTGAACTTATTCTATCAAAATAAACTCATCAAAACAGTCTCCTCAGAGTGATTTGAAGAGCATCTAACATTTATAATTCTAAAATTGTTATGTAACATGCTTCTCATTGTCCAGAGTAAATGAACATTTTAATAATCTAGACTGTTTTGTGATTGCGCTTCTTAATTATTTGATTACCTGATAAGCTTTGTTTATTTGGATGTATAAAAGACTTGGGTCATATTTTTGACTAGCAAGAGAAAATGTGTTTTGTTTCAAATAAAAACTGGATGTAGAATAGTTGTTCTTTACCTTTACAAAACTCCAGACTGGAGGCAATGTAACGGGCAGCTGTGTTGCTTTGCACAAGGGCAAGTGCTTGGTCTCACTTGTGTGTATTTAATTTAGCAGGACATTCTCTATATGTTAAATAATTAAATCTCTTTCTAAATGCTTGGACAGAATATAGAACTTGAGCATAATTTAGAGTCTTTCATCTCTGTGCTTGTCGTGCTGTCAGCAAAAAGTAATGTTCTTTTATTTGGTCTTTCTAGGCAGTTGGAGCAAATACAACTTGAGCTTACAAAAGCAAATGAAAAGGCTGTTCAGCTTCAGAAAAATGTGGAGCAGACAACACAGAAAGCTGAACAGAGTCAGCAAGAAACTCTCAAGATTCATCAGGCAGAACTGAAAAATATGCAGGATCAACTAACAGACATGGTAAGAAGAACTTTAAAAAGCACTAGCTAACTATATAGGATATAGTACTGCTGCTTCTTTAACTGTGTTCCAATTGTTTTATCTTTTATCAGAAAAAGCAAATCGAGACTAGCCAAACTCAGTATAAGGATCTTCAGGCAAAGTATGAAAAAGAAACTTCTGAGATGATCACTAAACATGACGCAGATATCAAGGGGTTTAAGCAGAACTTGCTGGATGGAGAAGAGGCACTGAAAATTGCACAAAAGAAAATCAATGAGTTAGAAACACGGGCTGAGGAGCTGAAAAAGCAAGCAGAACAGGCCAAAGTATGTATACTTTGTTACTCTGCAAGTAATTTAAAGTTTAAATCTTTCTGTTTCAGTGAATCACTGTTTTTTGCCTGGCTTCATAATTTCATTTTTGCAGTGTTTCTTTTTTGAACTTTTCCAGGATAGATTAATATTGGTTAGGGAAGAGAAGCATACACGACTAAGTGGTTGTCTTCTCTAGATTACACAAGAATCCATTAAATATGGTTCTTTGATGTTAACATTTTAAGTTCATAGATAGTTGGCTAAGTACAATCAGTTGTTGCCAAATGTTATTCTTTGTTTTTTAAATGCATGAATTTTAAATATGTTGTGAACTATTTCATTGAAGTGTTACACACCTGAAATTTTGTTCTGTAGTATGATCCCATATTATGTGCAACTACTTAGTATGTAGCTTGACTTAAGTAATTTTTTGTTTTCTCCTGTTTCTTTGACATTGCTGCTTGCTTTCATCCCTCATTAGTTATTTGCTATAATCTTTGTTTTATGCTTTAGCAAAATATTTAGTGTATAAATTGGCACACAAGTTAACTTTAAATACACCACCGATGTGGTATTTGACATTAAACGGGTTATGACAATATGTTTTGGACAGAATCATGAGGACAATTAGCTATAGAAGGTGAATTTGAGAATTGGAAGTTAAAAAAAGTGGTGGCTGTCAACAGTTGAATTCACACAGGGACTGTGTGTCAGTGTATACTCTTTTTTAAAACTTAAATAACAGTAGCTCTGTTTGCCCTTCAACCACGTTTCTCATTTGTCTGCTTTCATTCATTTTTGTTTTCCCTTCTCCCCAACTTTATTTTTTTAGTCCTTATGCTCTGTGTTAGCATCAGCCAGAAAAGAGATTGAACTAATGTCAGACAAGATGAGGGGTTTGATATCAGAAAAAGAGACTCTGGCACAGGAGGGGAATACTTTAAAATTAGAGAGAGGTTCTTTGTTATCAAAACTTCTAGAATTGGAATCAAAGATTTTGTTAATGCAACGAGACCAAGAAGAACTTTGGACAATAAATGAAGAACTTAATTCAGAAAATAAAAAAATCCTAAAGCAGAAGGAAGAAGCTGAGGCCAAAAGCCAGCAGGAAAGCACAGAAAAGGTAGCACTGATTTCTGAGAAAAGCAAATTACTCTCTGAAATAGAGGCAGCACAGGCAGACCTTCTGGAGATAACTCAAGAAAATGATGCTCTCCGGTCTTCAGAGTCAACCTTGCTTCAACAGTTGAAAGAACTTCAGGCCAACAAAGATGCCATGGATGTGGAATGTCAGAAACATATCAAAGAACGGGAAGAACTGGAGCATTACCAGGAGAAACTTTTGGAAGAGAAAGATGCAGTTGTTAAAGACAAAGATGATGTTATTCAGAAGCTGGAAAGTTCTTGTGAGGCCCTAGCCAGAGATCAAAGAGAGCTACTGCAAGAAGTGTCAACTCTGACTGCAGAGAGAGATTCAACCCTAGGTAAACACTCTGATCTTAAAAATACACATATAGCCTTAAAAAATGAAATGGACTGTCTGTTGCAGACAAGCCAGAATCTGCAGTCCGAGAAGGAGATGCTCCTTAAAAGCATAGAAGAGCTACGTGTGCGTTTAGACAATACGGTTAGTGAAAACGAAGCATTAAAAATGAGAATGGAAGAGACGCAAACAAAACTCGAGACTGAACATGAAGAACTTAAAAAAGCGATGAAAGACAATATGGAGTTGAAGAATTCCCTTGCTAGTCTCTCTCGTCTTCTTGAGGAAATTAAAGCCTCGAGAGAGATATCCAATTCTGAATGTATTCAGTTACTTCAAGAGAAAGAGGCTCTTTCTTCATCAGAACGAAAGCTTTTGGCTGAAAGGGAGGAACTTTTAAATGAAAATAAGGCAATTGCTGAAAAGCTTGCTAAAGCCACAGCAGATGCCGTACTTGCTGAGAAAGCCTTTACTGAGAAAATAAATGAACTGAACTTAGAAAAGGAATCTGTTTTTCGTAAGTCGTTGCAATTTGAAACGCACAATGAAGCTCTTCTTCAAGAGAAGAATGAATTGGAGAACAAATACTTAGAGCTTCTTGATGAAAACAAGTCTTCTGCAAATGCAATTTCTGATATGAAGAGAGAACATGAACTGGATGTCTCAACCAAGAGAGCTCTGACCCAAGAGAATACCATGCTCCAAGATTCCATCGAAGCCCTCAAGGAAGAAATAAGTAAGAAGACTGTAGAAAATCAAGAGCTAATAGCCTGTAAATGTGACCTTTCAGACCTTCTGAAAGAGGCCCAGGATGCCAAAAGAACATTAGAAAATGAACTGGCTGCTGTATCACAAGCCAAGCAGATCCTGTCATCTTCATTCAAGACCTGTTCCTCTGATAGGGAAATGCTGACCAAAGAGAGGACTGAACTGCAAGATAAGTGTCAGAAATTAAATGGAGAGGTTGAGATTGTGAAAGAAAACTTAACCATAGAAAAGGAAGCTAGAAAACTGGACAAGGAATCATTTTTGTTGGAACGTATGGAACTTCAAAGCAACATCAGCTTCTTAGAGAAGGAGATAGAAGAGCTGAGACAGAAAAATAAAGAACTGCTGACTGAGAAAGAACTTTCAGTTCAGGGGAAAGAAAAATCTGAAACTAAACTGGCAGAAATAATTAAAGAAAAAGAAATGCTCTGTGCAGAGACAGAGCAGCTCGCTTCCAATATCGAACGACTGAAGAGTGACTTTGTTTCCTTGTCTGAATCAAAAGCAGAGCTCCAGGACTTGCACAGCTGTGTCTCCAGGAGGCTAGATGATCTTCGACACAGGCATGAGGTGATGGAGAAGGAGAGAATACAGTTACTTCAGGAAAACGACAGCCTGCTTGCTGAACAGAAGAGTCTGGTCATCATTAAGGAAGAAATACTAAAAGAGAAGGAGAAATTCTCCAAGGCTTATTATAAACTGCACGAGGAAGTAGCACTTTTAGAACAAACTAATAGTGACCTCTCAGACAAATTGCTGGCCTCTCAGGGCAAAAATCAGATGCTGCAGGAGGAGATGAACAATCTGGTTTTGAAACTAAAGGAAATTGAGACTCTCCAGGCCCAAACGGTAGCGCAAAAAATGGAGGTATTGAAGCACATAGTTAAAAAACCAAGTACAGTTATACTAATACTGAGCACTAACCCAATGGTTTCCTCTCTGCACTTCATTGCACAATCAGCACTTCATCTCAGTGTAAACAGGCTGGAATTACGATCTCTCTCAATATATTACTTTGGGGTTTTTTCAAGTTGTAATTGTGAGTCTGAAAGACACTTCAATATTTTTTTAAAAATATTTCTAAATATAAAAGCCTATGTTGTAGCTGAATGTTGCAAGAAAACAATGTAAACTGTGAATAAAAGGAAGTTTTGTTTCCTGAATCTGGTAGGAGGAATTGAGCAGCTCCTTCCGTTGAAGTACTCTGCAGCTTAAAAACTAGAGTAGTAATAGATAACGTTTTAGTTTAGATCTTTGTGCAATTTTATGTTAAATTACAACAAACTACAAATCTGAGTTACACCAAAAAATACAAAACAACATACTGCTCCTGTAAATGTAATTGGATAAAAAGCAGTGTAAGAGAACCATTTAAATTTACATTATAGGACTTTCAGTCTGTTAAAGACATTGACAATTCTGGTATTCTTTTTATTCACAGAAGTGTTTTGTATTCACCACCAACAAATTCTGTAAAGTATTTTGAATTTCAGTTTGTGTGGCTTGAAGCCCATAAAATCACTTTGAATACCAATTGGAATCAAGATATCCTATAGGAATGTATTATGCCTACCTAGATATTTTAACATTCTTGTGAAATATTTCCTTTTATGAGGGCATAATGAACAACACTGAAATAATGCGATAATTGGCTTTATCTCCTATTTAATTTTTAATTCTTTTTCAAATTTTTAACAGTTTTTTATAATTCTACATTTTCTGAAAATAGAGCAGTCTGTTGGAAGTGAATATCTATTGAACTACTACTGTCTGAAGTGGTTAGAAGTCTAAGAGCAATCACAGTGGTGGTAATTAGAAATCCAGGAATTAAAAAAGAAGAAATGGGCTTCCTTGGTGGTCACACAAGCATGGGGTTATGATCTATTTCTGCATGGAATTGAATCTTCTCATGTCCATTTATTTTTATACTTTATGCAGCTTCAAAATGCAAATAAATTCCCAATTGAAGTCCTTACTTAATTGGAAAGCAGCTGGCAAACCGTGGAGCTGTGCATAAAGTATTGTGGCTCACCTTTTGCTTTCAGAGGTCCCTTTGGTAATACTTTTTTTTTTTTCCCCCACCCCTCCCCACTCCCCTTTGTATATAGGCTGCCAAAGTGGCAGAAGATGTTTTCCAGACTGTGGAGAAGGTGACCAAAGAGAAGGATGCCATTCACAAAGAAAAGATTGAAACTTTGGCCTCTTTGGAGAACTCTAGACAGACAAATGAGAAGCTGCAGAATGAAGTAATCACATTTAAATGCTTTTATATGAAAAGTTTTGCCTAGTTTGTGAGGAACAACTATTGAATTATGGAGAATTAGCTTAGGCAAGAGTGGATTCTGTCATTTTCTCACCACAGTACTCAGTCTTGATTGGCTTGTGAAAACTTACTAGATGAGTGCATATTGATGGAAAATCTAGGCGCTTTATATAGAAAAGAACATATAACCTATGTTCTTTTGTCTTTTGCATGTGGTTTCAAATACTTTACAGCATGTAAGTTCGTGTCCCTTAAATCTTGGTGCAGCAACAAAAAAAATTATCTTATGTAATAGGAGTTCTGGATGCTACAGCAGCTTTTGCAGATCACAGAATCAAGAGACATGGGTTTGACTTGAAGCTTAATCAGTCTTGCTGTGTAGCTTTGGATAAGTTGCTTAGATGTGACCACTCTGTGCTTCAGTTCCCTGGTTGTAAGTATGGGGTGCAGCCACGCTCTGATGAAGTGCTGCAGAGCTCTGAGTAACAGTGCTCTTAATCCACAAAGTTACCGCTCCGTTTCTCAGCTATAATGCACTCCTTGCTCTGTACATCCTCTTTGTGATCTTGACGTGTGTAATGTTATCGTTTCTTCTTTTCTCCACTTTTCTGTTAATCAGAACTGTGCTCTGACAAGGTACAAATTCTGCTGAGCTATGCACTGTACAATACATGAGCACAATGGTCCCAAAGAACTTCATGGTCCAACATGTACAGCAGTTCCTCTAGGGACCTGTTCTTCAGTCTATGTCCTCCCACCACTTGGTGATACTTCAGGGTTTGAAGGAGGGGAAAAATGTCCTCACTAACCCTCTTCACGCTCTTTCGCCCCGGAGTATCTAGCCTAACATTGAACTGGCATCTTTTCTGTAGATCTTGAGCACACTATGGCCTCTTTTTGATGGCTCTTTCATCTTTTGCAGCTCCCGTAATAATGGGTAGTGAACAGCTGGGCTAACCTAAATGCCACAGCTTGTGCTGAAACAGTAATGATTTCCAGTGAGATCTGATGACTCGAGAATTAAAAGCGGTGACGTTAATAATGGCAGGGGTTCACTTTCTGGATTAAAAAAAAAAATCCACAGGGTCCTGTAATGCCATGAGAACGGCTGAAGATTATCTGTTATGTAATATAATGTGTTGCTGAATGCGAACAAATAAGGCTCGCAAGCTTGTGGTGTTTACGTGGTAGATGCAAGCTCAGTAAAAAGATACACAACAATTTGTCCCATGCAACAAGATCTCTGAAAGGAATTCATTTCTTATGGTTGCAAGCACAACATTCAGCCTACTGGTTCTCAGAAGTTAAGGTATGGTAAAGCAGAACTTTTTATCAGTTATCTTAGAGGAATAAAGATCAAGGGAACAGCTAATTTTAGCAACAAGTGTTGAATTTTAAAAAAAAAAAGTGCTTTGAGTCATATAGCATTTAAAATGGAGGTGCTTTGGAGCTTTACCTTTTATATCAGGGTTATATACATCAGATTACTGTAAGCTGCTCTTCGATGGACTTTGAATTCTTTGTGCTGCTCAACTTGAATGCAGAAAGTCTCATAACATTTTTTTTTGTTAGACAAATGCTTCTCAGTACAAACAGACTGAATTAATTTAAGTACTAAAGATGAAAAAGTGGAACAGCTCAGCTCAGGCCCCCATTTTGCTGAGTATCTTTTCCGAGTGCTACTCCTAAGAACTGTATAGTTTCATTAGTGTAATGAGGTTTTTTCTTCTTTAAGTTGGACATGCTTAAACAAAACAACCTGAAAAATGAAGAGGAACTTAATAAATCAAAAGAACTTCTAAATCTGGAGAACAAGAAAGTGGAAGAACTTAAAAAAGAATTGTAAGTATTTAAATGTTAAATCTGTTAAACTATTCCTTTATAGTTACATTTACCTTTCATTTTTTTGAAAAATTGTCTTTCAGTACCTCTCTGGTATCCTCACTTATAAAACAGATATTAGGTCAAAATTAAATATTAGTTTGACATGTATAAAACTTGAAATCAGAATGTTGCTCCTGAATTGCTGAAGGATATTGAAGCAAATCCTTCACTAAGCATTGTTTGAAATAATTTGTTTGTTGGAGGAAGTATAGAATTCTGCCACCTGAGGGCACTAGATTATTTTAAAAGCTTTATTATAAAGAAATTCTGTTTGAATTTAATTACAAGTACACCTGGAGTTTAAGCAGTTTTAAGTGGCTTTGTTTATAGAAAATCTGGTTCTGCTTTTATTTTTCATTGATGTCTTTATCCAGTTTATTCCTGTTGCCCCACTCTGCATTTATTTTCTAACTGGTACAATACAAATGCTGTGTATAGTGTGTAAAACTAGAGTTAGTTGCTTATTTTAGATGCTTTGTTTGAGAAACTACCTCTTATGTACTACAAACTAATGATGTGTAACATTGTACACAAACAAATTAACTGCAAAGCATCTGATATAAAGTAATTTGACCTGTGGAATCTCATTGTATGAAAGCTTTTGGTGTGTCACCATGAATAAAAATCCAGCCTAGTTATTGCTACCCTGCACTAGCTGCATGTCCCCCAACTTTCAGAGATGTAACGCATTAAATCACAAATCTCTGTTCCCATCTGCACTCCAAGAAGAATTTCATGACTCACGGAGTGAGAGCTGGAATCTGGACTGATAACTAAGAGCAGCTTTGACTAACTATTACTAGTTAGTTCCATAAGTCATTTTGTGACAGTTCTTAACCACTGCTCTGAGGTGAAGACAGGACACAAAGGAAATCAGCACACAGAATTAATACTAAGTTTCTGTATGACTGACAGTTTTTACTGCTTGCTTTTAAAAATCTGCATACATGTATAGACAGCAGCCTCTTTTTAGAAAGGCAGGATTTCATTCCATGAGCAATTCCTACCTGCCTCAGTGCTCATGGGAATTGCCAAAGCAAAACAATTATTTCCAGACTAGTTGCTCTAATGCTAGAAGGGCAAGGGGCTAGCAGACTCTGGTATCATGGAAAGACAAAATATATTAGACTGTAATTTGTCAAGCAGAAGTTATTTATAGAAGATACTTCCTTGAAAATCTCCGGCACTGAAAGGTGTTCTCATGATCCTGATCACTTTGTGGGGGTTTTTTTAAATTTTTTTTTTTTTTTTTTTTTCCCTAAGGTTAATCTTGGTCATAGGCTGTTGCTGAATGTGGTCACTAATCTTCAGTGGTATGAGACATTGTGGATAAGTGGAAGCTCGTCTAGTTGTGTTTTAATTTATTTTTGTTGTCATAATTATTTTGTGTGTTGCTTGTTTTAATTAGAGTAAGGAATTTGCTTGATAATAGGCATTTCTTGATCAGCAGTGATGTGGGTAGAGAGAACATCTTTGAGAGGTCACTTGATGAAGGGAGTCCCCTTGTCTTTGCAAAGGAGAGGGGAAATTTTGCCCACGGGAGCTGTGACTGTTGGTAGGGACATGCTGCTGCCTCTAGAGCAGTGCCTTTTGGAGGTGGGAGGATGACATTGGTGGCCTTTGTAAAAGAGCCTTCCGTGTAAAACTAGGATGAAGAAAAGCAGAAATACCGGCTGGATGTTGTGTATTCATTTCGTACTGCTGTCAAGTGCACTTGCAGCTATCAGTTTAAAGTTCCTTGGCACTAAACACGGGGGAGCATTTTGCACAAATTGACGCCAGTATTTTGTGTGTTCTTTCAATAATGCCCTGAATCTACGCTTTAAAACCAAAAGCAAAAAGAGGAGAACTGGTTAGCACTGCAGTTCAGCAAACAATCATGGTTAAAAATAGGTATGTTCCTGCATCAGCAAGTAGATTCGTACCAAGATAATGTGAATTGATGTTCAGTGATGTGAGCTAGCCTGTTTAATCCAGCCTAGGTGGATCGGATTGGAAATCGGTCAAGGTGAGACCAGATAGAAGAAGTGGTTGGAAAATCTTAGTCGTATTACATGCTGAACTCGAAAAGTAAATCAGACTTCCTTTTGTTTAAATGTGCCCAATAATAGACCGTAGAGTCCTTGTATTTTGAAGTGCTTGAATAAGTTTCTGACTTACGGGTTCTTCTACCTCCCACAGTCATAAAAGTATATTTAATATTCCGGTCAGGGTTTAACTCTGTGTAATATTGGCACATAGGAGTACTGAGATTCCTTTTCATGAAAACAAAACACAGTCATAAAAATTACTGTTTAATGAAATGAAGCGTATCTCTCTGATTTTTTGAAAGATACTGTCAAATCTTATAAAAACTTGTTTTAGTCACTTGTGTTACAGGCAGGCATGCAAAATATTTTTTTCAAAAATTCATTGAAAATAAACTTACTTTAAGGAAACCACACACATGAGTAGCAACATAGGCTAATGAAACCTGAAAATCCTTTTTTTCCTTTAGCTTTTGTTTTGTCTCGTTTTCAGTTTTGTATCTGTTAAAATAATAGAATAGATTAGATACTTTCCTTTTTTGCCTCCTGTGATCTTGCACATTCTTGTATGTTTGGATGTCAGACCTTGTAGGGAGTATTTAAATAAGTGGAACTGTAAGCTTTTTTCTTTTTCTTTTTCTTTTCTTTTTTTTTTTCTTTTTTTCCTTTTTTTGCCCCCTTTTTTTTTTAATTTAAACAATTCTCATGTTTACCTCTGGCTACAAAGTTCACTGCTGAGGAAGTCTAGGCTATAAACCTTGCCAACACTCTTGTCAAACCCTACGCTGTATTTCTAAATCCAAGCCTTTGCTAACCATCGGCAGCATGCAGCACTAGCAGTCTGAACTTACCTTCCATTTCTTTGAGTATGTGATACATTTACAGGAAAAGGAGTTTTGTGCTGCTACTGCTTTTCAGGGTTAAACCTATCCCTGTGCATCTGAGGTATAGATCACCTTTATTATAGATCCCATTAGACACGTGACCTAGATGTATTTTTCCAAGCTGTGAAGCTGAATCTCTCCCACAGTTTTTTCTTGCCTCTCCCGTTCCTATGGTAACGATGCACTCTCTGTCCTCCCAGCGAAGCGCTGAAGCTGGCAGCAGCTCAGAAGTCCCAGCAGCTTGCAGCTTTGCAAGAGGAGAACGTGAAACTTGCCGAGGAGCTGGGCAGGAGCAGGGACGAAGTCACAAGTCATCAGAAGGTAGAGTGGCTGGAACGTTCCCTGATGTATGGTGAAAGTGCTGTGCGTGCTGTTTCCGCTGATGCCTGGGTGACGTTGCACTGCATGCTTGTGCTTGAAAGATGAGTTGTTCTGAGAATGTTTTAAAATAAATTTGGAAGCCACCTGCATTGGGAGGTTAGAACTGCAGGCTAACAGAAGGTTGCATAACCCGAGAAGGGTACTTAGGAGGCTTGGGAATAAGCATAAATTACATGTGCTTCAGCCAAATGTATTAACAGACACTTGCTATTTCTGTCGGGAGTAATTTTGTTATACAACTGTGGAAATCTTCATCTACCCAGTATTAAGGAAACCTAGCTATTTAATTCTCCTCCTTATCCCTGCTCTCCCTTCCCACTAAAAAAAAAAGAGTATTTAGGATGTATTTCAGAATACTATTTAAAACTACTTGGTTGGACTCTGTCTCTAAAAAGCGCTATGCACGTGTATGCGTGTGTAAACTTCATACTGTGCATGTACATGAACAGTGCTGCAGCCAGGTGGGTATTGGAGGACTAGAATCAATGTAAGATGTTTTTCTGGTGGTAGTTTATAGGGGAGAAAAACACTTTTAAATTTTTTTAGTTTTTTACTATTACATTTGAACATGTTGTTGGAATCTTAAAGTATGGGCTTAGTTACAGAGCTTGTAACACTGGTACTTGCCAAAAGATAAATTAGATTTACAGCCATTAAATATAGTGGGTTTAGTTCTTGTGGAGCAGTTCCAGTGACAGCCACACCATGAAGACATCTTTAGAAGATTTTGTCCAAAACCAAGAATGTAGAAGACATGGATTTATCTATTACCTTTCTGAGATAGCACTTGTGCAGAAGAGGGGTGTTCCTGTTCCCACTGACAGTGGAGCAGATCTCTTCCATCCTGCAACAAAGTCTAATATTTTTAAATACTGAGGATGGGGGATTACAGATCTGGCCAGTTTCTAAATCCTTTTGGCTGCTGACAGGAGCAATGCACGAACTCCTTCATCCTAAAGAGCCTTTGGAGATGATTAACAAGAGTCCCAGACGTGTGGGCTCAACCACTGACTCATGCTGCATCTGAGTAGTGGTGTGGTAAGAGAATGCTGTCATCCTAAACAGCCAGTGGGAGCTCTGCTCCCCACTCCCACGTGTTTTCTTAAATTATTTCAGAATCTTTGAGGCAACCTGTTATTTTCAGGAAGAGTTGTAACTTGAAAAGTATTCGGCAACATTGGTCAAAATCTTTCTGCCTATCTTATGTAGCCAGAGTTGATATACAGACAGTCCTCAAGGGAAGGGAACCTTCAGCCCGCGAGGCGTAGGCTGGCAGTGGTCACTGCAGTCTCAGTCAGTGCCCTCCGTTGTTTCCAGATGACCTTGCGAAGGAGTCCTGCTGTCTGCATCCTGCCTGCTGTGATCTGTCAGCAGGGACCCTTCTCTCGTTGCCAGGATAGACAGCTGTAATCTGTGAAGCGCAGGGATTAGTCAGTTATCTTGCAAACTGGAATATTCTCCGTTCACTTGCACCATAGCCTTTTCTGCCCGTGAGTAGATGGCTCCAAGATCAAAGATCTGCAAGATCTGCTAGAGCTTGGAGAAACAGTCTGTTTGTCTTCTTCAGCCATTTGTGTTGCATTATGTCCTCTTCTGTGAGGGAGATCTAATCTGAAC